TAACAGAGAGAACATATACAATATTAAAAAAAATCTTGTAATATTAAATTGGGGCAAATCCGTAAATACACATTTTTGGGGTTATAATTGTCACAACACTATTCATAAGAGCAAGATTCTACTTTTTATAAAGTAGGGATACTATTCAAAAAAGAGTCTTTTACCATCGTTTGTGACCATTAAGGAAAAATATAGTTATATGGGTTTACGTTTTGATAATACTTTAAAAATATTGAATTTTTATAAATTCTATAAAACAATTATTAGAGATATTACTGGTGACAAATGTATATTCATAAAATTGAAAGTCTAAATGTTTCATTTATAAATCAATAGAGAATGTATAATTGTATAAATAATAGAATAAGGCACATTTATGTTTTACTATTTATAATTATAACATGTGTATGATGCAACCTTAGTGGAGGGTTTATCACAACGATAACAACCTAAAGTAATAAAGTTCCAAGCCGGTCAAAACAACATTTTCAATTCTTGAGTTTGTCGTCATTCAATTCTATTTGACCTTTTTTTTTTATTATTTTTTTTATGATGGAAATGAATTTTTTGACAAATTTGTAAGTAAAAACATGACGTGGGGACTTATTTGAGTTAATTTATTTCAGTATTTCTCAATATTAACTTTTTTTTTTCCTTATTTTTAATAAATCCTTTGTTTTTAAATATTTGTTTCATTTTTATTTTCAGCTGCTTTTACAATATTTAATTCAATAGATTAGACTCGTGCATTGCAAGATTTGAATAAATTTATTATTATGCATTAAAAAAAAATAATCATTTGTGTAAAAAAAAAGTGGCAATTATTGATTTCAAAAAAAAAAAAAAGTGGCAATTGTTTTTTGTTTGAAAATGTATAGTGTATATTGAAAAAATAATAATGATTAATGACATCATACATAGAAATGGAGGGAAAATTTTTAATATGAGAGTGACACGTAGGATAGTTTAGAGTTTGATGGTGTCAGCAACGTTTTGTTTTAGTAATAGTTAATAGATTTCTTCTCAACCAGTGGACCCAACATAAATCATATTTCTCTCCACTAATTTTGTTTTTTTACAATTTTTTTTATTCTTCCAACTACCCCACTAGCTCCATATTTTATTACTTCATCCAATTTCTCCTAAAACTCCGTGCATGAAGAAATGAAGCAACTATTTAAAAACGGAGGGAGTAACACACATTTGATTAGGTTTGTGTGTGTGTGTGTGTGAGCCACTAAGACAGGTGATGGAATTGATCTCAAGATCTCCTGAAATCGGGAGGAAAGCTCTAACCACTTGAGCTATTCCTCAACTAAGCTCCAAAATAAACATACATGACATGTGTCGCCCTCCTCAAATAATCAAGTCTTTCATTTCACGTGCTTATAAATATATGGATTGACAAGATTTGATCTGAACCCATAACCTTAAGTTTTGAAACTAAAGTGTAAGCCACTGCCCATTGTTATCACCATATTAAATGTCACTTACCAAATCTAAATATAAATTACAATTTCAATCATGAAATAAAAGCAATAACTCAAGGCATCGTCCGAGTCTAAAAACTAGTTTATCTATACTTATCTATTAAAAAGCGTACCTAAAAATATCAATGTGTCATGTGTAGCTATTCTCGCACTAGAATCTTGCCACATCATCATTCACACCATAATTAACCAAAAATGCGTGCAAAGAGGTTTGAACACCTAGACCTCCTTTAATAAAGACACCACTTATTACCATATTAACTACAAATATTTCATGTTATATAAATCTAAAAAAAATATATAAATACATGCATATTAGAATCTATAAACCTTATTAAATGTGGGATCTTAGCAACAGTGTTTTTGTATGTTATTACACTATCACCCCCGAAATAAATGGAATTCCGAAGTTACCCTTTGTGGGGTTTTAATTGCACTCTCTTTGCCACCTGTACAGGTGTTTTTTTTTCCATCTCTTTGTCGCGTGTACAAGAGATTACATCTGTTCTTTCTTTTCTGATTAAAATTGCATTACTGATTTACTGGAGCTGCGTTTGACTTCACTCTTGGTTTGGTTTGTGCTATGTATTTCCGTGGCTGGTGAGGTTTGGAAGGAATTCATCTTTGGTTGTTTCTTTGTCTGAGAGTGGCTGTTATGGTTTCAGTTTCTTTTATGTATTATTACTGGTTTGGATTTGTTTGTTTGGGTTGTTTTATTGCCTTGCATGTTTAAATTGTTGCTTCGTTTTGATTAGTAGATTAGGAATATACTTAGTTTGGATATATAATGGGTTTGGGTAAGTGAATGCTTCTGTGATGTACTGTAGCTTAGCCACTTTGTGCAGTGCCTTTTGAAGAAACTTAAGGCACAACAAAGCCTTAGGGATTACTCAATTGCACTTTTAAGAAGGAGAAGTATGAATGCTTTTAGGGTTTCCACTGTGGGTATAATCGGTTTCATTGGCTATATATAGAGGAAAATGTTGCTATATTTTCCCACAAAATTTAAAATAATAATAATAATTCATCTCTAAATACTGATGATTTGAGATTGGTTTGCAAAGGTATTCGTTTTAGTGTTGTTATTGTAGCCAATATTATTTTTTATTTCCTTATCAAATTGACCATTGCCCCAGATTGGTAATTGGATTTCTTGACAAATTGGACGTTTCCTGACAAATCGAACTTTAACATTGCACCTTTTTGTTTCATTTTTATGTGTTATTTTGCTTATGCCATAAATTTAGTTAAGGTGTTTAGTAGTGTTCTCTGTTGTTTATAGGCGTTGGAAAACATTATTGAAAAACCTTTTGTAATTTTTATGTTGAATCTTTTGTTGAAAATTTACAGGCATCTTCTAGAGATCCTAACTAATTTAAGAGGATGATTAAAAGATAATTTTTGAAAGGTGAAGTATAAAAGAATTATTAATAGTTAATTTCATGTGTTTTAATTGGATTTCTCGACAAATTGGACGTTACCCTGACAAATCGAACTTTAACACTACACCTTTCTGTTAAATTTAGTTAAGGTGTTTAGTAGTGTTGTGTGTTGTTTATAGGCTTTGGAAACCATTTATTGCAAATTTATATTTGTCTTTTGTTTAAGAGGCATGGTTAAAAGATAACCTTTGAAGGGTGAAGTATAAAATAATTATTAATAATTTAATTTATGTGTTTTAAGTTCTATCATTTTGGATTACAGGTTCGGTGATAGTGTGTTGTGGTTTGGTGGATTTTGTTGAATGTACAAGATCTTTTGAGGTAATTCCTTGAACTTTATGCTTAGATAGGTTTTTTATTTTATTTTTTTTATTACAGTTTTGTTCTGTAATCTGTTTTATGATATCCTGTTACTTGCAAATTTATGTTTTTCGTTGTGCATTAGTCTGATTGTAGCGAATTATTGTAAGTTTTTGAGTTAATTTTCTTAGAGCTTTGTTCCAAAATTTCTTACCACTGTAGATACGCTGTGAAGGTGTTTTTTTTTGGAAGAAACACAGCTTCCCTGGTCTGAGTACTTTTTGTCCTAACATCAATTTTGCCATTACAGGTTATGGCCGCTAGACCATCAAACAAAGTTTGTGTTCCTTTTCAGCCTCTTTTGGAAAAGATTGTTGCTTGGTTGCAATTCCCACCTCCAGTCTATAGATTCATAGATATTGCTAAGAACAATGCCTTTGTACGTGTTAATCTGCCAAATACGAGTACAAAGTTTCTTTTTTATGGTCGAGATGCCACTTTAGTAGAAGAGTCTCGCGAGAGAGCGGCTCACAAGGCTGTGAAAAGATTGATTTGTCTGTTTAATGTCCGAGTAGATGATTTCACGCATGAACATCTAAAGATGTATCGTCTATGTGTGAATTTAGGGAATATTTCAAGCATTACCCTAAACTTGAACCCCACTGTAATCATACACTTAAGCATGGTAGCGTCCAAAGGGAAAGAAGCTAGAGCAAAAGAGTCGCCAATAAGTTTTAGGAACTTGTAAACCGTTCACAGGGTGAAGGTTACACCCTTTAACGATCCAAGAGATCGTTAACTCCAATAGGTCTGGAACCAAGACTGGTAGTTCGGGGATGAAGGTACAAATCCAACCAAAAAGAGATTGAACCTGCCCTAATAATAGGCCTCTACTTTATTCTTCTCGTATTCATATGCGCTTTTTGACTAACATGAAATCATTAGGTTAACCCTAAGCCTGTTTAATCTATGTTGGTTGAATATTAATGCACAAATAAAACTATTATTGGCGATCACTTGAATTATAATCATATTAACCCTAAACAAGATTATTAATTATCTTATTAAGCGTGATTACAAGTACCAATTCCCTTTAAACATGCATAAAAGGCGTGATCAAGTAATAACAATAAATATAATCAAGCCACATAATAATAATATTCAAAATAATAATTATAACAAATCACAATCATAATTAACATAATCATGTTAAAGCATAATATTAATAGTAAGATCCTATGCATGATACTAACAAGATTAATAACAAACCCTAGCATGTTACTAAACAATAAAATAAAAGCTTTAACCCTAACATGATACTAACATGAATATTAGGAAAGAAAAGTAAGAGGCATCATAGAAATCATAATTGATATAAGCAAATCACCCTAAATACGATACTAAGAAGCAATAAAACATCATAATATGATACTAAGAATCAAAATAACAACCTAAAAATGATTTCTATATCAAAATATCAATTAAACAATTAAAGCACTTACTTGGATGCCTCATATCTCTTTCTAATAACAAAATACACGCGTTAGTAAGTACCACTAGTAGAAAAAAGTAAAAAGACATCGCTCAATTGCCACCGGTTCTTAAAAACCGGTGGCAAAAAACAGGGGAAAAATGGGCGGGGATATTATTGCCACCGGTTCAAACCGAACCGGTGGCAAAAATATTATTCCCACCGGTTCAAAACCGGTGGCTTACTAATATAAAAAAAAACCGGCCCCTTTTTTTTTTTGGAAGACAAAACCAGCCCTTTAAATACCCCAAACCCTACAATTTCACCCACCATCAGCCGTTTCACACCCACCTCCCCTCATTCTCTTTCTCTCTCCTCGTTCAGCTCGGATCCCATCTCCCCTCTTCTCCTTCATCTTCTCCTCCTTCTCTTTCTCATCTTCTTCGATCTCCACCACCACCAATTTTTCCACCACCTCGAAGACCACCACCGCAACAATAACACCACCACCGCAACAATAACACCACGAACATGTGCATGAGCAACAACGACTTTAATCGAGGTTAGGGTTTGATTTTGATCGATTTTTATTTGACTTTAATTCGATTTTACTTTGATTTTAAACGATTTTAATCGATTTCTTCTAGGTTTTTAAATAGATTTTTTCGGGGTTTTTGATTAGAATTTTTCTGGGTTTTTGAATCAAAGTTTTGGGTTTTAAATTCGATTTTTATTCGGTTTTTATGTGATTTTAATCGATTTTCTTCGATTTCTTCTGGGTTTTTGATTAGAAATTTTCTGGGTCTTTTATTAGATTATTTATGGGTTTTTGATTAAAACTTTTCTGGTTTTTTAAATCGAAGTTTTGAGTTTTAAAATCGATTTTAATTCGATTTTTATGTGATTTTAATCATATTCGATTTCTTTAGGGTTTTTCTGGTTTTTAAATCGAATTTTTTTGGGTTTTTTAAATCGAATTTTTTGAGTTTTAAAATCGATTTTAATTCAATTTCTATTTGATTTTTATTCGATCTTCTTATGGGTTTAATTCGATCTTAATTATGGCTACATGCTTTTTCTGGGTTATTTATTTATTTATTTATTTATTTATTTTTTATAATGATTTTAATCAATTTATGGGCACATGCTCGATTTATAGATACATGCATAGTGTTTTGAGTTTTTTTTTCGCAGCTTATGTATATTAGTCGATTTATTTTTTTGTTTTGATTGATGCAGGTATATTGATTTAGATCTTAAATTGAAGAATCATGATGCATGAATATTGTTTTTGATGTTGTAACTTTTTTTTTATTTATATTGTAATTTTTTTTATTTATATGTTGTAATTGATCAATTTTATTGATTTATATTGTAAATAAAATTTCGATTATATAGATTGATATTGTTTGATTTATATTTTGATGTTTGTAATTTTATTTTACTGAATTGTTTTGTTATATTTCTTTTTGAAAAAGACAAAAAAAAATTATGTATACATGTTATTGCCACCGGTTAACCGGTGGCAAAAATAATTAATACCCAAAAAAAAGCGCGAAACGATAATTGCCACCGGTTAACCGGTGGCAATACCCCTTTTTGCCACCGGTTTTGAACCGGTGGCCTTGCTTTGGAGTATTGCCACCCCCCAAATGACCACCGGTGGCATTGGGGGGTTTTGAACCGGTGGCCAATTCATATTTTCGCCTAGTATACTTCAAGGAAAATAAAAAAATTAAACAATTAAATTAAATAATTGAAAGAAAGTTTAGACTAGATTCGGGACCAAACCCTTAGAAATATCAAACCTTTCACGTCTAGGGCTAAGGCAACTTCGAACTTGGCTAGGTGTGTCTAGATCTTGCGAATTCAGAATTTTGTATTTGAGAAAAGGCTAGTTTAGAAAAGAGAGAGAGCGAGTATCAAGAATTTCTTGATGAGAGTTGGTGATTAGAATTAGATGGAGAATTATTGATTGAAAACAGAGGTTTTAGAAGGCTATTTATAAAGAAAATCAGTCAGATTATGATAAAAAAGAATCAGAGTTTTGAAAAGAATAAAACACGGGCTGTCGCCACACACGCCCCTGTCGCCAGGTGACAGACGTGTCGCCGCGACGCCAGGCCTGTCGCCAGGCGACAGTCTGTAGTGCGGCGTTGCAGGAAGTTTTTCCACGCTTTTTCATATTTTGATATAATTTAAGCGTACGAGGGGTAAAACTGTAATTTCCTTAAAAACACTTCTTTTATTCTAAATAAAACTCTTAAAAGTCAAATATCAATGCTAATCAAATTAGTATTCAAAAGAACCTTCTAGAAGATTCTAGAAGACTATAATCAATCCTAATCGCATTAGGAATGATAAATCATAATAAACCCTCTAAATCATTGGGCCGCATATAAAAATCAAACCGGGCCCAGTTTAGTAATTTGGCCATAACTTCCTCATTATTCATCGGAATTCGGCTTATAATATATTTTTGGAAAGCTCTTTTCGAACCCGACCCAACTAAACTATTATTGGACTCTTGCCACGGACCAAACTAAACTGGATTGTCTATTTTCATAAAAATAGGTTTGCAAAAACAGAGAGAAAGAAAAGAATTAAAAACTAACCGCAACACCACACTTTCCACACTTTCACTTCATTCGATTATGATTCGACGTGAAAGGTACTCATCACTGGGTTTGGCTTTGGGGAGACACAAATGGGTATCTACAGAAGCCCCCACTTTGGCTGAGTTTGGAGAAATACAAGTTTCGAAAACAAAAGACAAAGTAGCTGTAGGGACGGAGAATGATTCAGAACGTTCTGCGATCCTAAATCATTTTTGTAACGCCGATACATGCAAACTAGCGTTAGTTAAAAAAGATAAGAGAGTTAAGAAATGCGTATCTTGCACCGTCGAGCACACGTCTCTTGGAGTAACCGATTTGTGTTTTTGCTGCTGTGACAACCTTCCACAAGCTAAGGAACGCCATGGATCAATGCTGCTACATCTCGAGCCTTTTCCTTGAATCATATTGACAACCTTCCCAATTATAGCAAAAGTCGTCGAAGACCGCCTCATCACGAACCGCCCTTCTCAAATCTTAGTGATAACCTCCACAATCTTAGCGGATGTCGTCGAAGACCGCCCATCTCGTGCTATCTTCTCAAATCTTGGTGACAACCTCCACAATCTTAGCGGATGCTGTCGAAGACCGCCCATCTCGTGATATCTTCTCAAATCTTGGTGACAACCTCAACAATATTAGCGGATGCTATCGAAGACCGCCCATCTTGTGCCATCTTCTCAAATCTTGGTGACAACCTCCACAATCTTAGCGAATGTTGTCGAAGACTGCCCATCTCGTGCTATCTTCTCAAATCTTGGTGACAACCTCCACAATCTTAGCGAATGTTGTCGAAGACTGCCCATCTCGTGCTATCTTCTCAAATCTTGGTGACAACCTCCACAATCATAGCGAATGTTGTCGAAGATAACTTCACTTGAAGTCATCCTCAGTTGTTGCGATAATATTACCAAGGAAACTACTGAATACAAACGCTTGTTGATCCTTTAAAGCTCGCTTGAACTTTGCTTTTGCCATGCCAGTGCGTCGGTGCTTCAACTGCTCATGAACCAGTATGTCGGTGCTTTGCTGTTTATGAACCATTGTGTTGGTGCCTTTGCGATGAGCCAGCCGCTTTAAGCTAAGTGAGACGATCTTTTGTCCGGTCGATCACTTATTTGCGATTGTAATCAAACCGACTACTTAATCATGTCAAATTTCTTATAGGGGCTAACTGGCGTACCAAGGAACCCGGAAATTGCTGCACTAGATCCGCATAATCTAATATGGGGGCCACACATTGTGTCGCCGCACCAGCGCTTGCTGGAACTATCTGGCGCCGCGCTTTTCTTCTGTTGCCAAGCGACAGATGTTGTCGTCAGGTGACAGCCTTGTCATCTGGCGCTGGAGTCGGGTCTTCCCTATATTGCTCTTGCTACTGCTGTTCGTTGCTCCAAACTTTGAACCTAGTCATTTCTTTTCAACCAAATCCGCTCAAATCTTTTGTAACTAAAATTTCTTCATCTCTAATTTACTGATCTATGTAATTTTGCTCAAACTCCTCTCATCTTGGAAGAATCTCATGTGTCATATTCGCGATTTTTCCGAAAAAATCCGGGAATGTCCTCGCTTGCTGGAATGCACCTGTATTTATATTTTTGACTATAGGACTTTGCTCATCTCTTTCTTTAGGTTGACCTAAGGCTTAGTGTTGCTTGACTCATTGACTTGACACGACTCAAGGTATAAAATTGACTTAATGATGACTCACTTTGTGTGACTCGTGTGTGCATAATGTTGACTCAATGTGATAACACGACATGACTCAATGTGTACATGACTCGTGTGTGCATTGTAATATGATCGTGCGACTCGAAAATGCAAAAAAGCAAAAAATTTGCGTTATTTTTGTGGAGGGTACCGTGTTGAGTAATTAGGTTCTGATGATTGTAAACTAATGATGATTATCTATCTAATGAGTTTGTTAAGTTGTGCATAGAAAGAACAAGTTATACTTGGAACAGGATACAAGGAACCTGAGCAGTCACATATATATATAGGTGTTTGCATATGTTAACTTCATAAGGTAAGTGTTATGGTTGATAAACATGATGATGGCTAAAGAACCATGAAGGTAACTATGTAAATAGGTGTTTGCATATGTTAGCTTCATAAGGTAAGTACACTATGCATAAATGAGTTGTATATGTGTAGGAGTATTTACATAAGCTTTAAGTTTAATTAGTTCTCTCACTTGAAGTTTGTTTATGACAAACAAACTTCAATCTAATGTTTCTCTTAAGTGTTTATGTGAAGACAGGAACTGACTTAGGTGAAGTCAATGGGTTGGAATATAGAAGACTTCAAGAGGAACAAGAGAGAATGAATGAACCTAAAGTAGGTTCTCCCATGAGAACCAAACCACGAAGGAACCTGAAGGTATTCTCTAACAAGATCGAGAAGGAACTTTCGGCAGGCTTTCCCACGAAAGCCAGAGCATGTTCCCTGACAGGTACATGAAGAGTTCCATGTTCCCTAACAGGTACATGAAGAGTTCCCTAACAGGAACTTAGTTCTCTAACAAGAACTATCTAAGTTCCCTAGCAGGAACATGAAGACAGCAAGTTCCAATAGGAACTTGGCTTGCGGTTCCAGAAGTGGAATGTTGCCCCGAGAACTAGAATACATCAATACTACAAGATTCCAGAACAAGAGTTTTAAAGAAACAACATGAAGACGAAGAAATCAAAGTATATCGCTCTAGGATTCATGTAAGTATGTTGGACATAAAAGTCAGTCTGGAACAAGTCTAAAGAACCAAGGTGAACTCATGATAGTCAATGAAATTAGATTTACTGACTTGTCAGGAACTCAGAGACTGTCAGAGTTTCAAAACCTAATCGGAACTTAGGTCTGCACGTCGTTAAAGGTCGCAGTTCGAGTTTAATGATATAAATATTTATCAACCACGTGCATATCTTTTAAGGATTTGGTTTTATAAAATAAAGATATTTACTTTCTAATAAATCCTTGTGGAAAAAGATAAGTTATTTTTGGAAAATATTTTCAGCAAAATAAGTTTTAAATAAAATCTAATTTTATGGCAAGTATATCTTTTGTAAAAAGATATGGTAATTATATATTTTGTAAAAAGATATGGTAAGATATATTAGTACATTTGGAAAATATAAGATTTAGATAAAATCTGATTTTATGGTAAATATATCTTATTATTATTGATTAAATATATTCTTAACAAAAGATATATTTTTGGAAAACTTATTTTTGGAAAATATCTTTTATTTCTATCTTTTAATAAAACTTATTTTTTACGAAAAGAATAATTTGGGTGTACTATAAATATGCTCATATGTATTCATTCAAAGGCGAGGCTGATGAAGCTTAGTGGTCGTGCTTATTGGTTTCATCCTTCACCACGAAGCTAAGTCAAACCTCCAGGTCGAAGTTCCAGTCAGGTTCCAGTTACAGTTCGTCCAGTAAGTTCCAGACAGATTTTGAAGTGTCCAGCATATTAGTTTTATCTCTTTATTCATTGGTATGTATTTAGAGTTATTCTTTGAGATCTTGTAATTGGGAAAAAGGGTTTTGAGTGTTTTATGTATTGGGGTGTGAGAGTTCGTGAGGATTCTTGTTATAATTGTAAGAGTGCAATGTGTAAGCTTCTAGGTGAAACTGTGAGTCTTGTACTTAGGTGGTACAAGTATTTAGTGCTTTGGCAGTATGTGTAGTACTTTGGTGGTACGAGTGAATCTAAGTGTGGTACTTAGATTGGGTAGGTTAGGGTCCTATAAAGTAGCAAGTCCAGTGAGGAACTTGTGAAATAAAGGTCCGTGTCTAATAG